TTTAGCAATCTTTTCGCTTCTCTTGCAAAATTTTAGACAACATTCTAACCTAGTTATAATCCTCAGGTCTTCAATTATGAACGTACAGAACGTAGGCCTAAAGTCCTAAACTATTTAAATATTTCAAGGTAACATGACAGTCATTTGCGAGTTTCTTTTCAAATAACATAATGAAATACGTGGAATAAATTTTATGCTACAATTTCTAATAGCTTCATGATTAATAGGACCACAACTGTGGTCATTGACATATCTGTCTGAGAAAACCGTATCAGTTAAAATAATTTAATGAATACCAATTTTAATTTATTTGGTACAAATTAAAATTGATATTCACTTATGTTAAAAATGCGTACAGTTTCAAACTGAAAGATAGTTCATAACAAAGATTTTCTCATTTAGAATAGAAAAAACCTTGGGAGAAGAGATAGCGAAAGTCAAGATTTCGAAGAAATTAGCAAAGGACCACCACAGAGCATTGTAAATAGTATTATTTTTAATAAACCTTGATAGACTATTCTTTCTAATAAATTTAAGAATTTTCCAGTTGTTGAATAAAGTAGAATTAAAAGATTCTGCTACAGAAACAGATGATAAACTTTTTTCACTTGCCGAAAATTTAGTAAATATGAACACGAATTCATACAATGAAAAAATTCCACCAATTCTCAGATACAGAGACAGCATGGACATTATTATGGACAGATTGAGAAATTCGGAAATCGAGTCACCAACCATTTCTTCTTATGAAATCAAAGATAATGATGTTAGTTTATTAAACTTACAATTTCTTATATAAATATACATCGTATAAAACTTATCAGAGAAATATTTATTTACAGAACAAAGCAATAAACGTTCAAATCGATGAAGAATCCGTCGATCTTAACAGCGATGATAATTCAATAGTAGTAAATGGAAATAATTAGTATAAGGTGCTGGAAAAAATTAGAAAAATAAATTTATCAATATTCTCAATTGTGCTTTTGTAAACTCCTTCCATATTAACTTTTACTAATTTAGATTACTGTTACTTTCACAAAAGATAATATAATTTTTAATTTTTATAATACTTTTTTTTAAAATGAGAACTAGTTTACCCGTCGCACATTGCTGCGATCTCAGAAGAAACGAAATTCAAGCAAACTCGACATACAGTTGTCCATGTGAGAAGCACGGATTCTCCAAATCTAGCCCACACACTTGCAGCGATTGTCAGAAGTGCGATATTCCCCATTTATATGTATATATTTTTGATCCTTTACAATTTTAATTATCTAATTGCTCCTTCCTCTCTTCCTTAGCATGCTGTAAAATTTCTGATAGTTGGATAATAAACCGTTTTATTGTAATTTGCCTTTTTAAATTATTTTGAGTTGATATTAAAATTGGAAAAGGGGGATTCCTAGATCGGTAAAATAGGCGAATTTCCTCCTACAACTTCGGTTGTTGTTCCGGATATAGTTAAGGTTTTAACAAAGTTCAAGCGAATACATAATTAGCAAAAAAATAGTTGAAATAAAGTGATTAAACAAAAATTATTACAAATATTGTAAATAACAGTTCACAAATGGCATACAGTATATAGAGATATTTTTTGGAGGGGGAATGGTCTTCGCAATTTGAAATCGATCGAACTCACGATGAAATGCTCGTATACACTCGCGCCATCTATCGTAGGATAAATGTACTATGCCAGAAAGCTTCGCGGGAGTGTATTAAAAAAACTTCCCAGTTTCTTGGCAATCGAATAAGCAGTGTGGTAATGCATGAAGGACATACAGACAGACAGACATACATTCATTTTTATATATATAAATGAGGTAAAGAGAAATTTTTCATACTTAGTTTTGCTGTATACAAGTATATTAGTATGTAACAGAATACGTGGCACTCAAGGCTATATAGTAAATAAAGACTAGAGACCACTCCGGCTTGTTTATCGTCCACTAGTATTCGCACGACTACGACTAGTTGTAGGTTCACGCCTAACTACCAGTGCTCAGTGGTGTTATTCTCTAGAACACTAGTGGGCGATGTTGAGCCTCACCAACGGGCTGATTATGTGGAGTTTTCCAGATTTTCTTCACGTTAGTAATACCTAAATAGGGACCAGTTTCCCATAGAAAGTCCTCCCGAGAGGCATCCCCTCAGCTTTTCGTTCATGGCTCGCGTTTCCGTAAACAAATAAACAAATAACATTGTGCCGCCACGGATTCAGCAGATAATCCAATATGGCCGTAGAGCCATATTGGATTATCTGCTGTTTCAAATGCACTCAATCGAGTGAAACTTATCCGAATTAATTTCGATACGAGTTATTTCAGTTATTTAAATAGTTCAGATAACTGTACACGTTCGAGAATACAGTGGTGCCTCGTATAATGTACTGTACTTAATCCGTTTCAGGTGCACGTCCGTTAAGTGAAAAGTCCGTTATACGAAACGCATTTTCCCATAGAAACACATGTTAAAACATCTAATTCGTTCCGCAGCATAAAATAACCATACTGTACCATTAAAAAAAATGAAAATGGAGCAGTCACCAATTATGCCGGGTAGTCAGATGTTTTGAGGAGGATGTGGAGGAACCAAAGTATTCCTCTACCTCCTTTCTTCACACATTCATACAGAGAGACACTTTCACACATTGCAGCAAGTCTCTTTTTATTGCTTTTTTTAAATCGGAGTCAGATTCAGGAGAGGCTACCGGGGCTTGCAGGATCAACTCCTCTTGTTCCATCCTTTGTTTTTTGGCAGCTGACTTCTTGAAAAACATGTCCAAAGTGGTCTGTTTCTCTCTCTTCTTCAACACCTGTCGGAAATGACGGGCAAGGGTGCCATTGTAGAGATTATTGATCCTGTTGGCCTCAGCTCTGTTTGTATAATGAGTGTTGGTAAACTCCTGAACCTCTCCCCATTCGACAAGGAAGTTTTGGTCAACTTTCACTCCTTCTGATGATTTCTTGCTGTTTCAATTGAAATCACCTTTCTGATTTTTTAGAAGCCACGATTTGCACAACACTTGAATAAATGTAAATACCCTGCACTGAGGTGATGTACGTAATAAACAAGGGAGCAAGCCGAATTCCATCGGAAGCTCTGTACTTCAGATATAATAATAATATATTCTAATAATACTAATATATTATAAAAATAGCAGATTGTCATCGGCAACGGCTACAGAGTGGAAACATCACTCGCACTTGTTCGCAGAAAGTCCATTGTTCACGTAACTGCCGAATGGAAAGTCCGTTGTTCGCAGCGTCCGTTATACGAGGCACCACTATACTATAATTATAGCGAAGCAACCTTCAAACCTGTAATAAAGTTCTTTTACGCAAGGTTTTTATCATTTATTTTGAAAAATAGTGACAATATTATTTTGAATTTAGACTCGGATTGCAGAACGAACCTCTAACGATTACGGTGATAATGTTCGGATACATGACATTAAATTTACTCGTTCACTGAATAATTTTATGGTTTATCACGAATGAGGGGACCGAAAACGAGCGCGAACAACTTCAGCAAACATCCGTAACCATTTCATCATAATCCTACTCTTCGTCACTAATCAGTGTTGCATAATGGTACGAGACAGAAAGTGGAAAAATAAAAGAACGTTGCAAAGCCCCCCGAGACACCATAACAAAATCTTTCCTGAAATACGGTCCTCCGGGTTATTCATCACTTTATTATCATCAGTGCCCACCAGTGGCCAAGCGCTCTTCGTACCCTGAACACTAGGAGTTCGGTCCTGGGTTTGCGCATCGCCAGGAAGGACTGGCCACGTGGAGTTTTCCGGGTTTTCTCCACATCTGTAACGTCTAAATAGGGAGTAGTTTCCCTTAAAAAGCCCTCCCAGAAGGCATCCCCCTTAGGCAGATCGCCCAAATGTTGCGTTGCCATAACTAAACAAACACTTTTATCATGCCGAAGAACGTTTTGTTATTAAAAATATGAAAATTTTATGCTTATTTAATTCCAATAAAATTTAAAATAAAAGTAACAATTAATTACGTTCCATTTGTTATAAATTTTTCATTGTGAAGAATGTATTTTCAGTTTTTCTTTCCACGACGCATTCCTCACTTGGATATGGTGTACCAATTCCAGTTCCATAACATTCTAAATGAATTTCCGAGATAATTTCGAATCTATCAACAATATTTGTATTTGTAAATGTGGCGATTCCAGTTTTTCCCGTAATGTCGATTCTGCCTAGTCATTACGGGGTTTGTGGACAAACAAACAAAAAATCTACGGAGGAGGGTGAGACCTTGACGATGGTTCCGTGGCATTAGTACAGAATTTATATTCTGTGACTAACATTATCCGGCAGAATAATTTGAAGATNGGAGCAAGCCGAATCCCAACGGAAGCTCTGTACTTCAAATATACTAATAATAGGCTATATTTTAATTATACTAATACTGTATATTATAAAAATAGCAGGTTGTCATCGGCAACGGTAACAGAGTGGAAACATCACTCGCACTTGTTTGCCGAAAACGAGCGCGAACAACTTCAGCAAACGTCCGTAACCATTTCACCATAATCCTACTCTTCGTCACTAATCAGTGTTGCATAATGGTACGAGACAGAAAGTGGAAAAATAAAAGTACGTTGCAAAGCTCCCCGAGACCCCATAACAAAATCTTTCCTGAAATACGGTCCTCCGGGTTATTCATCACTTTATCATCATCAGTGCCCACCAGTGGCCAAGCGCTCTTCGTACCCTGAACACTAGGAGTTCGATCCTGGGTTTGCGCATCGCCAGGAAGGACTAGCCACGTGGAGTTTTCCGGGTTTTCTCCACGTCTGTAACGTCTAAATAGGGAGTAGTTTCCCTTAAAAAGCCCTCCCAGAAGGCATCCTCCTTAGGCAGATCGCCCAAGTGTTGCGTTGCCATAACTAAACAAACACTTTTATCATGCCGAAGAACGTTTTGTTATTAAAAATANTCTTTATACTCATTTTCTATTATACATATTCTCACTAGATATAATATTTAATAAATTTTTTGTTTGATAAAATTATTGACAATATACTTAAGCTAACAGTTTGGAGTGTTTTCTTTTATACTTATAAAAAAAAATGCAAAAAAAATGTAAAAAAACTCTACTGTTTGTGAAATTCCCATTAGAATATACAATAAAATGTATTCTGTTAATTCTAGGTTATATTGTTTATTTTAAGTGATATAAAATTACAAATTCTTGACATTATAGATGCAACAATAAAGTTACAAATCATTCTTTATTGTTAACAATGCTTTTTTCATAATTTTGATTTCTTTTAGTGAAAAATGAATTGAAATAAAATGGGAAATTGTTTTAAAGGAATCAGGTAATAAGAAATAATTTAAAATACAAATTTCTCCATTTAATATACTTTATTTTGATAGTGAAATATTTAACAAAAGAAATCAAACAAGTCTTGGAAAGGTAGGAAAAACCAATTAAAAGATATATAGTAGAAGTAAAATTTGACATATATAATTTATAAGATGTTTAGCTAAGCATTTATCCAGGAGCAAGAGAGATCTTTTTAGTATTGAATGATTATGTGTATTTGGTGCATGCTGAAATAACCAAAGGGAATCAGTTTAAGACAGTTTGACTTAACATACATTCTAAGACAATATTGTATAAATTGATAGCAAAAAGAGAACTTATTTTGTTAGAAAACATGTTCAAAACTGTCTTCAATGGAAATACAAAGATGTAGACAATGGAGCATTGGTGTTCCAGATGGTACAGCATTCTGGTGTCATTGTTTAACAGGCCTCTTGTATGTGTTTCTCCAGTTTGTCAGTGATACTTGACACTGCTGGGAACACATCATATATCAATGCTTTAAGGTGATCCCAAAGGAAAAAAATCCAAAAGGATTAATACTGGGAACATGTCCTATCTAGGATTGCCAAACCACTCTAAGTTACTGATGCATACTGGAAATGATGTAGGTACCATCATATCGCTGTAATTGCACCAATGGAAAGTTATCAAGCCATTCATCCACTATTCTGTTTAGATATTGATGTTCAGATATCAGTCACTCTTCAGGGTGCTATCAACATATACGGAATCAAGAAGCTGCTCATCCCAAATTCCACACTAGACATTTATGATAAAACTGTGGTTCTCAATCCATGGTCTGCAGAACATGGGTGCTCCATGAAGCCACTTCAAGTGTTCCGTGAAAAATCAAATATACAATTAAAAATTGTTGCAAAAGAAAAATCAATACAATGTAAAACAGTTTGTGTATGGTAATCAGCAAATGCCAATGACATTATATACTAGACCAAGTGTGCTCTTGATTTCCAAAAGGTTTGTTCTGTGGAAAAAATGTCAAAGTTTAGTGTTCCCCAACTTCAAAAAGATTGAGAACCATGGGGATAAAACATACTATGTTACATATGTTGCATGCATCATGGAGCGTGCTGTGTTCAGTGATGCATGTTGTGACAGCTATCCACACTATTTTGGAAAACTGCCTCATAAAATGGTATAAAGGAGTTGCAATTCATTATGCTGTAAATTGAATGTAATATTGCACCACTCGAATCTTTTTGTGGTATCATCTCTGTTGATTGCAGATAGCAACAGAATGGGTGCATGTCCAGTGTATGCTGTGGTCCACAACATAATGTAATCTAACCAAAGCCAGTAAGATATCTTGCCCTGATATATGTTTAAGTAGACATCTTGTATAATGTACAGAAATTCCAATCCATTCCTTCATGAATCACAGAACTTCAATTTTCTAAATTGCTATAAAGTCTGCAAGATCTATCAAACCAAAACTATTTAAAATTTTTATGGGAAAGATACAAAATTGGAGTTAAAATGAATAAATATCATATTTTTTTACAAGTTTATTAACTAAATGATTTATTTAATATTAGATTAATATTAAATAAATCATTTAATAATTTCCTATTTCTAAATATTCATGAATTAAAATTTACAGAGTATATAATGATAAATTAGTATATGCAATGATAAATATGTGACTATGGTTTGACTATTAATATTTATCCATTACAAAATCAAATATGGTTTAATCATTTAAGTGTTTCTTCAATGTTAAGGGGGTACATGTTTAGTAACTCACTCCTTAGTGTTCATCTGATATGGATGGATAATTGTCCTTTTTATGCTAATCCTTTTAGCTGAAAAATCAAAAATACACTGCTGACCTTTAAAATTGCTACACCATGAAGGCAGCAGGCAACAAATGCAAAATTTGCATGAAAGGTATGTACTGTACAACATGCTGGGTGCTAATGTGCCTCAAGATTATCTATCAATTTAATGTCTTCCTCCCAATATACTATATGTATATAATAAACATGATTCTGCTATTTGCTTTCCTTCCTGGGTAGCAATTTACAATCTACACTGCTGGCCTTATTGGCCAGCAGTGTAGATTGGAAGTGAAATATTTGGTTTAAATTAATATCATAAAATATTTCAAAATCTAAAGAAAATGCCATAAATGTGTAATATCTCAGAATGGGATAAAGATTATGAAACTAAAATTTGGCATGGTAACTTGTATATAAGGGCATTAATGCCATAAATTTTGGAGTACTGAACTGAAATAGGAGATAGAGGAACGAGAGATCGTGTATCATATCGAGTGGGGTCAGACTTAAATAAAAATGTTCGTTATTGACATTTAAAACATTTTAAAAACTCATCACTAATTTCAAACTTAAGCCTTTTTTGCCTAATAATAATAACTTTTATATTATTATCTCGTAACAGATGGTCAATAATGTAAACATTCAATTTTAAGTGGACTATTTTTTAAATGGAGATTTTTATCGTTATTCAACAAACTTACGCCTTTTAAGCTTTTGTTATGACTGAAATTTTATATCTGAGTATAACTGAAAATTATCAAATTTCCTAATGGTCCCCTTAACTTCCTATTCGAGTGCCTGGAAAGTCAAACAACAGCCTCTGCCATATTTTAAAATTCCTTTGTTATTTGAACAAAAGAGGAAAATTAATGGTACAACTAAATAGGGTTATGTGAACGTATGCTTTCAAGAAATAAATTCCTAAAAAGAAGGCTACATTCACTTGCGCCAATTGAATAGTTTTCTTAGAAAATTGCAGATATTTATTCATAATTTCCTTCTACCAGTTACTAGTTTTAAAAAGAAACAAGATTTCTCCAAGTAATGTTTAAAAAAGTATTGATTATAATTATTCTTTCGAAAGATGATAAATTTCTACTTCTAGCAAATACCTATAATCAAAGCTGCTAAACCTTAATTATCGGTTGACTAGTTTTATTTCTATCGAAATTGATTTCTGCTATCAAGTTATTTAGGAAATCAATAAGTTTTTCTAAGTTTTTATACAGTCATTGATTTCAGTATTCTGCATTTGTTAGTTCTCTACGTATCGAAAATCTTTCGAGATGCAAACTCTTATAAATTTATTTATAGTGTGGCAATCTCTAGGTCATGGCGCATTATAAACAAAACTGGTCTAGGGGCGTCCGAGATGGTCCACCTAAAAATTCTTGGGATTTTTTATCCATCCGTCGTTCTCAGAGCCCTACAGCAGTAAGTTGACACCATATCCACTCGGCCATTCAGCCGTTCTATATAATGTATATTGTAAAATTATGGACTCCAATAATAATAATAATAATAATTATAATATTGTCACTTTCAGAATAGTCTGAAGACAGGCTATTCTGACACAGTTAAATCATTGTTAAGTCTTTTTCTTAGCTATCGAATGGCTTCTGATATTTGCTCATTTGAAATATTTGTTAATTCAATTTTCAATTTGTTATTAATTCCAATAAATTAAAATAACCTGAAAGGAATTATTATAAGTTTTTGGAAGAAAAATCTGTCGTAAAATAGTCTAGAAATGTGAAAGTTGGACAGTTCTATTTTCAGCACTAATAGCAACATTTTTAGTCAGTCGATAATGAATAAATAGAAGTGTTCTGGTATGTAACAACTAGTGTAACAATTTTTTAGTGAAAATTCATATTAATCTGATAAAATAAAAAGAATCCACAATGAATTTTTAATTTTCCATTAAAAAAAACTGATTTACTGTTGGAATTGATTATTTTACTTTTTCAGTTTTATTGAATATTTTACCTCTAAACTCACGTATAATCCTGTGGGAGAGGTTTGATATATGAAAAAATAGAATACTTAAGTCCACTTATAGTATTCACAGAATACTATAAGTGGACTTACAAGTGCATTTTATCAGCCAGTACTGGAAGTATGCTTAAAGAATGATAACAGTGCTAGAGCTAGGCCCTCAACAAGCTTCACCAGTGGTAACGTTTGGTTCGCATGTAAACAACGAAGACTGTAATGGCGACTGTCATGTTCGCTGGTCAGCGATTTTTTTATTATTATTATTATTACTACGCCAAGGATATTAAACTGTTTATTGATCCAAATGACGTTGAAGGACATACCAAAACTGTGAACTTCAGTTCTAGCATGACTCCACGTTCACCAAAATCATTCAGTAAAGTGACAGTTCAAAATCACTGCTGATGACCCAATTATTGTTCATTACAAGTATTCCCATTCAGTTGGAAGAGTAGGCAACATTTAGCATGAAGAAGAAAGGCCATCCTAAAGTACTAAAGAAAAAATATGATGATCGAAACATGCTGTTAATCTTGAAAAGATCAGTAACTTCAGAAGCAGATGGAGTTCATACCTGCAGGTAAAATGGATTTCTGGATAAGGTTTTTTGCTAAACAAGACAAAAGAAGTGCACCACAGTCCAAACATATTTGAAGACGAATAACCTGAAGAATGGAAGAGTATAGGAGATGGAATGGGTCTCCTTCCTAATCGGTTAGCTCAGCTGCTATAATGTTATTAAGGTGCAGTGCACTTCTCCCTAAGCCCAGTTATAATCGTGTAAAGGACTTTTCGTCGTTTTTAAAAATCCTTTATCAAGTAAACGTCAAAGAAACGTGTATTTCGGCTTTGTCTGATGTCTCAATACTGGAACTACATTTTGATAAGGCTTTATAAATGTACTGGCATAAAAAATTGCGGATTTTAGCAATCTTTTCGCTTCTCTTGCAAAATTTTAGACAACATTCTAACCTAGTTATAATCCTCAGGTCTTCAATTATGAACGTACAGAACGTAGGCCTAAAGTCCTAAACTATTTAAATATTTCAAGGTAACATGACAGTCATTTGCGAGTTTCTTTTCAAATAACATAATGAAATACGTGGAATAAATTTTATGCTACAATTTCTAATAGCTTCATGATTAATAGGACCACAACTGTGGTCATTGACATATCTGTCTGAGAAAACCGTATCAGTTAAAATAATTTAATGAATACCAATTTTAATTTATTTGGTACAAATTAAAATTGATATTCACTTATGTTAAAAATGCGTACAGTTTCAAACTGAAAGATAGTTCATAACAAAGATTTTCTCATTTAGAATAGAAAAAACCTTGGGAGAAGAGATAGCGAAAGTCAAGATTTCGAAGAAATTAGCAAAGGACCACCACAGAGCATTGTAAATAGTATTATTTTTAATAAACCTTGATAGACTATTCTTTCTAATAAATTTAAGAATTTTCCAGTTGTTGAATAAAGTAGAATTAAAAGATTCTGCTACAGAAACAGATGATAAACTTTTTTCACTTGCCGAAAATTTAGTAAATATGAACACGAATTCATACAATGAAAAAATTCCACCAATTCTCAGATACAGAGACAGCATGGACATTATTATGGACAGATTGAGAAATTCGGAAATCGAGTCACCAACCATTTCTTCTTATGAAATCAAAGATAATGATGTTAGTTTATTAAACTTACAATTTCTTATATAAATATACATCGTATAAAACTTATCAGAGAAATATTTATTTACAGAACAAAGCAATAAACGTTCAAATCGATGAAGAATCCGTCGATCTTAACAGCGATGATAATTCAATAGTAGTAAATGGAAATAATTAGTATAAGGTGCTGGAAAAAATTAGAAAAATAAATTTATCAATATTCTCAATTGTGCTTTTGTAAACTCCTTCCATATTAACTTTTACTAATTTAGATTGCTGTTACTTTCACAAAAGATAATATAATTTTTAATTTTTATAATACTTTTTTTTAAAATGAGAACTAGTTTACCCGTCGCACATTGCTGCGATCTCAGAAGAAACGAAATTCAAGCAAACTCGACATACAGTTGTCCATGTGAGAAGCACGGATTCTCCAAATCTAGCCCACACACTTGCAGCGATTGTCAGAAGTGCGATATTCCCCATTTATATGTATATATTTTTGATCCTTTACAATTTTAATTATCTAATTGCTCCTTCCTCTCTTCCTTAGCATGCTGTAAAATTTCTGATAGTTGGATAATAAACCGTTTTATTGTAATTTGTCTTTTTAAATTATTTTGAGTTGATATTAAAATTGGAAAAGGGGGATTCCTAGATCGGTAAAATAGGCGAATTTCCTCCTACAACTTCGGTTGTTGTTCCGGATATAGTTAAGGTTTTAACAAAGTTCAAGCGAATACATAATTAGCAAAAAAATAGTTGAAATAAAGTGATTAAACAAAAATTATTACAAATATTGTAAATAACAGTTCACAAATGGCATACAGTATATAGAGATATTTTTTGGAGGGGGAATGGTCTTCGCAATTTGAAATCGATCGAACTCACGATGAAATGCTCGTATACACTCGCGCCATCTATCGTAGGATAAATGTACTATGCCAGAAAGCTTCGCGGGAGTGTATTAAAAAAACTTCCCAGTTTCTTGGCAATCGAATAAGCAGTGTGGTAATGCATGAAGGACATACAGACAGACAGACATACATTCATTTTTATATATATAAATGAGGTAAAGAGAAATTTTTCATACTTAGTTTTGCTGTATACAAGTATATTGGTATGTAACAGTGTAACGTGGCACTCAAGGCTATATAGTAAATAAAGACTAGAGACCACTCCGGCTTGTTTATCGTCCACTAGTATTCGCACGACTACGACTAGTTGTAGGTTCACGCCTAACTACCAGTGCTCAGTGGTGTTATTCTCTAGAACACTAGTGGGCGATGTTGAGCCTCACCAACGGGCTGATTATGTGGAGTTTTCCAGATTTTCTTCACGTTAGTAATACCTAAATAGGGACCAGTTTCCCATAGAAAGTCCTCCCGAGAGGCATCCCCTCCGCTTTTCGTTCATGGCTCGCGTTTCCATAAACAAATAAACAAATAACATTGTGCCGCCACGGATTCAGCAGATAATCCAATATGGCCGTAGAGCCATATTGGATTAACTGCTGTTTCAAATGCACTCAATCGAGTGAAACTTATCCGAATTAATTTCGATACGAGTTATTTCAGTTATTTAAATAGTTCAGATAACTGTACACGTTCGAGAATACAGTGGTGCCTCGTATAATGTACTGTACTTAATCCGTTTCAGGTGCACGTCCGTTAAGTGAAAAGTCCGTTATACGAAACGCATTTTCCCATAGAAACACATGTTAAAACATCTAATTCGTTCTGCAGCATAAAATAACCGTACTGTACCATTAAAAAAATGAAAATGGAGCAGTCACCAATTATGCCGGGTAGTCAGATGTTTTGAGGAGGATGTGGAGAAACCAAAGTATTCCTCTACCTCCTTTCTTCACACATTCATACAGAGAGACACTTTCACACATTGCAGCAAGTCTCTTTTTATTGTTTTTTTTTTAATCGGAGTCAGATTCAGGAGAGGCTACCGGGGCTTGCAGGGTCAACTCCTCTTGTTCCATCCTTTGTTTTTTGGCAGCTGACTTCTTTAAAAACATGTCCAAAGTGGTCTGTTTCTCTCTCTTCTTCAACACCTGTCGGAAATGACGGGCAAGGGTGCCATTGTAGAGATTATTGATCCTGTTGGCCTCAGCTCTGTTTGTATAATGAGTGTTGGTAAACTCCTGAACCTCTCCCCATTCGACAAGGAAGTTTTGGTCAACTTTCACTCCTTCTGATGATTTCTTGCTGTTTCAATTGAAATCACCTTTCTGATTTTTTAGAAGCCACGATTTGCACAACACTTGAATAAATGTAAATACCCTGCACTGAGGTGATGTACGTAATAAACAAGGGAGCAAGCCGAATTCCATCGGAAGCTCTGTACTTCAGATATAATAATAATATATTCTAATAATACTAATATATTATAAAAATAGCAGATTGTCATCGGCAACGGCTACAGAGTGGAAACATCACTCGCACTTGTTCGCAGAAAGTCCATTGTTCACGTAACTGCCGAATGGAAAGTCCGTTGTTCGCAGCGTCCGTTATACGAGGCACCACTATACTATAATTATAGCGAAGCAACCTTCAAACCTGTAATAAAGTTCTTTTACGCAAGGTTTTTATCATTTATTTTGAAAAATAGTGACAATATTATTTTGAATTTAGACTCGGATTGCAGAACGAACCTCTAACGATTACGGTGATAATGTTCGGATACATGACATTAAATTTACTCGTTCACTGAATAATTTTATGGTTTATCACGAATGAGGGGACCGAAAACGAGCGCGAACAACTTCAGCAAACATCCGTAACCATTTCATCATAATCCTACTCTTCGTCACTAATCAGTGTTGCATAATGGTACGAGACAGAAAGTGGAAAAATAAAAGAACGTTGCAAAGCCCCCCGAGACACCATAACAAAATCTTTCCTGAAATACGGTCCTCCGGGTTATTCATCACTTTATTATCATCAGTGCCCACCAGTGGCCAAGCGCTCTTCGTACCCTGAACACTAGGAGTTCGGTCCTGGGTTTGCGCATCGCCAGGAAGGACTGGCCACGTGGAGTTTTCCGGGTTTTCTCCACATCTGTAACGTCTAAATAGGGAGTAGTTTCCCTTAAAAAGCCCTCCCAGAAGGCATCCCCCTTAGGCAGATCGCCCAAATGTTGCGTTGCCATAACTAAACAAACACTTTTATCATGCCGAAGAACGTTTTGTTATTAAAAATATGAAAATTTTATGCTTATTTAATTCCAATAAAATTTAAAATAAAAGTAACAATTAATTACGTTCCATTTGTTATAAATTTTTCATTGTGAAGAATGTATTTTCAGTTTTTCTTTCCACGACGCATTCCTCACTTGGATATGGTGTACCAATTCCAGTTCCATAACATTCTAAATGAATTTCCGAGATAATTTCGAATCTATCAACAATATTTGTATTTGTAAATGTGGCGATTCCAGTTTTTCCCGTAATGTCGATTCTGCCTAGTCATTACGGGGTTTGTGGACAAACAAACAAAAAATCTACGGAGGAGGGTGAGACCTTGACGATGGTTCCGTGGCATTAGTACAGAATTTATATTCTGTGACTAACATTATCCGGCAGAATAATTTGAAGATATAATTGAATTTTTTATGTTTTAGTTTTGAAAATGCTCTTTAGCTTTAAGAATATTAATTTCTTAAGCATCCAATATCTTACGGGTAACATAGGCTACAGGAAATACAGAGAACACAAAAAATCATTTTTCTTCTCGGCATTGTAACAAGATAATAAATTAAATAAATTAATTATTTATAACTATATATTTGACATTTTTAATTTATTATTGGGGCTGTATATCGAGGTTTTCATTTTACTAGTCTATATATATATGAGATGGATTATTAATAATAATAATACAGTCGACCCCCTATAACACGGTAGATACGTTCCGTTCTTTATGAAATTGATGTTCTGAGAGTCCTTAAATATATGAGCCAATCACAGCCAGGCACGTGTGTAGTTTACAGACTACGGCTGTTTGAGAGGTTTTCTTCCATAAAATTAATCGATTCTAGACTAATTCGACTCAACTTTTCCAAAATACGTATAATTTTTTGGGAATAATCCATATAAACTATGCTATAAACAAAAAATTNAAGTCAGTTTGATATACAGTCGAACCCCCTATAACACGGTAGATACGTTCCGTTCTTTATGAAATTGATGTTCTGAGAGTCCTTAAATATATGAGCCAATCACAGCCAGGCACGTGTGTAGTTTACAGACTACGGCTGTTTGAGAGGTTTTCTTCCATAAAATTAATCGATTCTAGACTAATTCGACTCAACTTTTCCAAAATACGTATAATTTTTTGGGAATAATCCATATAAACTATGCTATAAACAAAAAATTGTAGGATTACTTACCGAGTGTGCACCGTTCGACCATTGCTTAAGCTTGTTTTCTTCGTGGAGCTTGTCATCGAATGGCGCTCGCGTGCTTCCTGATAAATTATTTTTTTTGTGAAAAATTCGCTGAAATTTGGAGACATCATTAATATAAATATAATTTTTATGGACGTTAAATAATATATGGTTTTTAGTAGGTCTGCTGCTCGTTTAAACTCAACGGTTTGTACAATATCCGCTATTGGTCTAGATTCGACCAATCCTGTCGCGACGATGACGTTTTACCGAATTATACCAGTTTTTTCAGCGTGTTTGTACGAATACGGTCGCAATTTTTTCGCCGTGATATAGGAATCCGAACTATATGAACCCGTGTTATAGAGGGGTCGACTGTAATAAGTACAGAGTCCAAACGGTTAGAAGTTGAAAATTAAAATTTGGTACACGAGAATGCACACCAAGGGATTTTTCGAAATTCCCTCCCACCGCGGGGGAGAGAGAGAGAGAAATTATGAATAAATATATCTTTGTAAAGAAACGTACATAAAAAAACATAAAATATTCTATATATTTTAAATCTTAAAACAATCCACTTAGTCAAATAGCATCCTACCAGCGGCTAATGGGTGGAATCATTAGAAGCGTTATACAATATTTTGGTGTGTAGCATCCACCAGCTAAACCGCCTGAGATTGGTGCTCTGAAAAACGCATGGGTGTAATCTGGCTGTTTTACACCATTCAGATATTTTCGCCGTAGAAGCTGTCCCGTACTTGACAACACGGCGCTCAAATTGGGAATATGCGTTTACGAATTTATTATATTCGAATATACAATAGCAATTTTATCACTGTTTTTCACGTGTATAAAAATTTGTAATAAGATACATAATGCGGTTAT